GCAACTAAATTTGTTAGTATTTAAGTAAGTGACATTGTAGGAAATTTTATCCATAAACTTTTAGGCATTCAACAAATCTTTTTGAGCCCTTTTACCACCCAAAAAAAAAAAAAGAAAAAAGAACTCTTTGAGCGTCCAATTAGGTTTCACGCCTGCAACCCTTCTAGTAAATCACGGTGGCCGATATCGGCAAGACGAATAATTGAATGGTTGCATTTTATCAAGTTAATCATGGTCATTCCAAGAAATGTTTAAGGAGATGTGATACTAATCAATGTCTCCGAAGTATTGGTGTGTTTCGCCAAATGTCAAATTTTCTTCTGAACTACTACTCTTTATGTCATCAGATGCCTTAGTCGAGGACATCTTTTAAGCGATATAGTTATGAAATTTTAAGTCCTTAATTAGCAACTAATGAGCCTCCCCCCCCCCCCCACACACACACACACAGCACCCAAAAAAAAAAAGGAAAAAGAAGAATACAAAAAGTAATGGAAGCTAAAAAATCTTTCTTGCTATGGGGAATTTCAAAGGTAAAATCATCACATAGGATTTCGCGTGTTTGATGATTCCATGAGACCTTTGCTTCATCTTATGGTAACTTGAACCCAAAGAAGTCAACGACCAGACAAAATGAAAAGAATTTGATCGGCCGGCCACCTACTGGGGTCACCCGTTTACAGTCCTTGCATTATTTATTGGGATAATTTCAGAAACCTGCCTTGAGGTTTATAATCATTTCATGTGAGGGTAAAGTACATAAAACCCCCATGTGGTTAAGGAAATTGACACGAAACCTCCTCATTGTTTAGAAACTCCCACTTAACCTCCCTGTGCTTTGGACTTGTTTGGATTTTACCTGCTAACCGGCTGGGAAGCTAGCGAGTGATATTTACGCGACTTAATGGTAACTTGTGTCTAGCAGAAACTCATTTCATTCCAATTTTGTCCTCCATGTCTCTTCCAAGCTTGCACCCACCATAGTTGTAGATCTGCTTATGAAAAATTTCGACAGAGATGCAGAACGAAGATCCAAAAACCCCCCTTTTCCTCTTTCTCTCTCCAAAAATCACTTCATTCCCCACATGTCCACTCAAAAAGGCTTAAAAAAATTTTGGTCCCCATTTTAAAACCAAAAATCCCATTTTTTCCCCCCTTGCATTCTCTCAAGAAACTCTGAAAAATTGAAACTTTTCTTGCAGAAGGAAGAATTTCAGTGGAAAATGGGAGAAACCCACCTGGGATTTCCCCTTATGCTTTCTTTTGTGATAATTTTTCTGGGTTTTTCCCCTTCTATCCACTCCCAGTCCAGTGATGCTTCAGGAATGCAAGACTTGAAGAAGGCTCTCAACCCACCGAGTTCACTTGGCTGGGATGACCCAGACCCCTGTCAATGGAAGAACGTTGAATGCTCCAAGAATGACAACCGGGTCAACTGGATCCAAATTGGGAACCAGGGCCTGACTGGGTCTCTTCCAGATAGCCTCAGCAAGCTCAATGCTCCGCAATTTCTGGAGCTCCAGAACAACCATCTGACAGGGCCGTTGCCGAGTCTTAACGGGTTCGGTTCACTCCAGGGGATTTTTGCAGGGATGCTCTGACTTTGGTGGATTCTTGAAGAATGGTTTTTGTGAAAGAGGCGGTGAGAGAGATGATAGCGGCGGCAGTGGCGGTGGCAGTGCGGGGATGTCTAGTGCAACTTTTTTCGGGACACCGGCTTTGTGGATGTCACCACCCCCCGCCCGGGGGCCCTCTCTCTCTCCTTCTTGGTTTTTGTTTGCTTGTTTTCTGGATGAGTTTTACATTTAGATCCCAAATTTTTATTTGGATGGAGTGGACTTTTGCCTTGCCCAACAATTTCAACTAGTATAGATATTGAATGTTAGTGCAAATTGAGTTCTTGGCCTGGTCTGCTAACTTGAGTGTTAATCCTTCCAATTTCAGCAAAATGAGATACGAAATGAAAACTTTCCACGGCAAGTCGGCAACTAGTTAGCCCCACTCTAAGAAGCCAGGATCTGAAGCATATTTTCGGTGCATAATGAGCCGCAACGACTTAGCTGGTCTACAAATTATCCCATACATTGTGGTTCAACTAAGCTCCAAAATAAAAGGCACCAGCTCCACTCCGTCATCTTTAACATAGTGCCAAAATTTCTTCGCTGGTATGAACTCATTGCCGTTCCTTCTCTCATGGTACAATCCTCTTCTCGCTGAGCCCCTCTGCCTTCATCTTCGGGAGATAGATTAGATGCGGAAAACCTTCTAGAACGAGATTCTATCTCAGAGGGCCCTCGCTACCATCACATCTTGGTCTTGGAGAGGGAAATTCATCAGCGAAAGATTTTCAATCTGTGAAATTCATTCTCAAGTGAAAACATTCTTCCAGCCCCCAAGGGACAGGGAAAGTCAATCACAGTTGATGGATCCAAGTTGACATTCTTCAAAGGCTTTCCCGGACTTAAAGAATTGACTCATTGCATCTGTAACTTTTCACATATTATATATGAGGGTATTTTTGGTATTTTATATTATTACCGGCTCATCAGCCGGTTAGCAGGTAAAATCCAAACAAGTCCAAAGCACAGGGAGGTTAAGTGGGAGTTTCTAAACAATGAGGAGGTTTCGTGTCAATTTCCTTAACCACAGGGGGATTTTATGTACTTTACCCTTTCATGTGACTCTCTTAAGATTTCAAAAATTACACCTACTTCCCTTATTCATTTAAAATGACAATACTAACCTTAATATTTTAATAAAATTGTCTTGTTGCTAGGGCTGCAAACGAATCGAGCCGCTCGCGAGCGGCTCGAGTCAAGCTCAAGTCGAGCTCGAGATTAATCGAGCTCGAGCCTTGACTCGAGCTCGAACTCGAGCTCAGAATATTAAGCTCGTTAGCTCGCGAGCCGGCTCGCGAGTTTGAGTATATATATATATATATATTTTTTATTTTTATTTAATAATAAAATTACGTATATTATATATATATATTTTTATTTTTTATTTTTATAGTGAAATTACGGATATATCCTTAATATTTTATTATTTATTCAGAAAAAAAATATTATTTTATTTATTTTTTTTAATAAAAATATTTTTTTTAAATTTTTTTCGAGCTCGAGCTCGAAAATTGCCAGCTCGTCGAGCTCGAGCTCGAGCTCGAGCTTGGTAAAATTTAGTCGAGGCTCGGCTCGATTAGCTCAAACCTCGACTCGGCTCGGCTCGTTTGCAGCCCTACTTGTTGCCATATTTATATAAAGGATGGATTTTTATTTTTATTTTTCCTTTTTTCTTCTTATTCATTTCTTTTATATTTCATCAGAAGTATAGAAGAACTATCAATTTTGTCACTAATATCTATCTAGATCAAATGTTAAATTAGTAATTTTTTTGATGACCTTTAATATCATCCAATTTTTTTGTAGCTCTTTTTTTTTTTAATCAAAATCAAGAGTAATTAAAAACAAATGGCCCAAAATCACTACCAACTATGGTAGTTCCATCACTAAACTAGTCCATAAACTTTTATTTAAAAAAAATAGTCCATAAACTTAAAAAACACAATGTAACACTTTCTTCTCTATTTTAAAAAGAATCTATATTTCCAATAAAGTTCTATAAAAAATAACTTATCATAGCAAAAGATTTATTGTTATAGTTGATTATTAAATAACATATATTGGCATGAAAAACTTGAGTCTCCCATGTGTCAAATTACTTTATAATTGTTTAGAAGACTGAATTGAATTTCATAAGATAAGAGCATTTTAGGGTTTTCATTAAATTTTTGACCTTATTTTAAGGTTTGGTTACCAAAGTGTCAAATCAAGGGAGATAAGTATAATTTTTAAAACTTTAAGGAAACTAAGTGAAATAGTAAAAAACCTTAGGGGAGGTTTCTGAAATTATCCCTTATTTACTAACTTTCAAAAAAAAATTTCATGTCCGAGATGGTAATAAACAAATGTATCATGTCATTTTCTTTTTTATTTTTTTCGTTATGCAGATGCGTAATTAGTTGGATACATAATAGAGGACATGCATGATTACAAATCTGAATCCCCATTAGTAAATTTTATTGTAAAAATTCTTCTTTTTTGTTTTCTTTTTTAATTTTTTACGCCAGAGCATTTTCTTCTAACCAAAATCTTCTCTCCCTTTTGGTTAGAAGAAAATTTTCTTTTGCAAGTTCTTTTTGGCTGAACATCCCCCGTAGCGTGAGTCGTCTCATGTGATAAAAGGCAGAAAGAAACATGAAAAGATACGAGTGAGTGGGTTGCAAGATAAAATATTGCTGTCCCAGTAAATTAGTACGTTGGTCGAACCTTTGCTCAAAAAAGAAGGAAAAAGAAAAGAAGGTAACCTTGAAGTTAGGGACGCCCTATCATTTACTGTTTGATGAATTTCTTGCATATCCACGAGAAAAGAGAGAATATCCCTCATTGTTCTGTTCATCGGCTCAATTCATTGGTAGAAACAACGGAGGATATTTGCATCTTCTAAAAATCAGTGCAACCTGTTACTGTCCCAACGACCCAAGTCAATGCCATCAAATACAGAACAATGAGCTATCAAAAAAAATTTATTGAACCGTCCATTTCTGTCTGGAAAATAAAGGGCGATGCAAATTTGTACTAATTATTTAAACCGCAGTATAACATCTTTTAAGGGTGCTTCAAATCTGAAGTTCTTGCAACCAAAAAATATGAGATGGATCTGATTTTTCAGGAAGAAGTAGAGCACCATAACATTTGAGTCTAAAGAAGACATGATGAAGAGAATGGAAATATAAGATGGGAAGGACGAATTAAAGATGAGATGAATTTGTTAGCATATATTTTCAGCTAGGAAATTGTTGTCAACAGATTAACAGTTTAATACATGAATCAGCTGCAAGTGGAACACTCATTCCTCTCTCAATTCAACACAAGTTTCTTAGCTGATCAGTAGCTCAACATCTTGCCTTGGTTAATCAATGAATCTCATATATAGTGACACCTTTAAATTTCTTTCCTGACTTTCTTGATCTTCTTCCCGAAATCTGCAAGTAGGGCTGGAGGAAAAAGTGATTCGATTTCATTTGACAGATCAAGTAAAACCCTTCTGCGAGAAGCTTTTTGGTTAGTAGATGATGGAAGAGACTTGGGCTTTCTTGGAGCCGGGGGGCAAACTTGTGGGATTTTATGATCCGCTGATGTTGGAGTTGTGCAGCCTTCTTCTCCTTCTCCTTCTTCATCCACCGTTAGTACTTGTCTTACCTCTGGCAATCTCACCTCCAAAGAAGAAACTATGTCTCCACTTCTATCTTCTTTCCCTTGTTTTTCGTCCTGATAGAATTCAGCAACTCTTTGATTCTTTTGAGGAACTTCTTCATTAACCTCAACTGATGGAGTAACTTGAGATACATCTTGAATTTCCAAGGTCGGCCGAGGCAAGAAGTTGCACTCCATGGTGTGTAAATCTTTCTCAAGGGAATCAGGAAAACCCATGAAGGAGCATGAACTGAATTTCAAGAACATGAATAGTTATGGAAAAGAAGTGGAGAAGAAATCAAAATGATGCTTAGAGGCTGAGTACCGAGTAAATATTGGAATAAAGAGAACCCTGGAAGAAACAGAAACTAAGAACAAGAAGTACTCGAAAAAGGCAAGAGCTTGGGATGCTAAGAGAGGAAAAGATGGTTGATATAGAAATTGTATTCAAGATTATAATCATAAAAGCATCCACCTTTTCATTTGTTTAGTGGACTTGTTTGGATTTTAGCTTTTCCTATGTTTCGGAGGAGAGATAGAGAAGGTGGAGGTATTCATACTTCTTCGGCGAAGGATCCAATGCATCACTTCTCTCTCCGGGTAGACTTGGTTTCTTTTTTTTTTTCTTTTTTCTTTTTTTGGCCTTTTTGTCCCCTTTCTTTTAGTTAAAAATGGTCAGTTATCAGTCAGACATTAGCTAGTAAATTAAAAGATTTTCAAGCGTACATAATCTTTTTCTGATGCTGCTAAGTTGTATGAACTTTGATGCATCTTGGCACGTGCTTGGATGCATGGAAACCATCTGAGGTCAACCTAGCCAGTCGTCCACCTTCTCATGATAAAATGAAAAATGAAAATTTTATGCATCAAATTAAGATCTGCAAAATGATACACTCAACATGAAAAATTGTCTTAAGAGAGTGTAGTTTTGTATTTTTCTTTTTATGTTTTAAAAAATACTTGTATATGTTTGTACAAGATTTAATGTTCACAGTACTAGAACTTAGTCTTTTTTAAGTCTACAACTGAGTTGCCTGCGTAAAATTATCCATTCAACATGTTAGGTTGTCGAAGGGCTACATAATTATTTACGTTAGACAATTCATCATTTGGTATATAGACTGGGTTGTTTAGTTATATTGCTGCAGTTGCATTTCTTCTTCTGCAATTCATCTTCCTTAATTTCCAAGTTATGCTCTATTCTGTCGACAAAACAATCTGCATTTGTTGGAGGTTTCGTTGAGATTAACTATTATTTGGTGGGCATGTTTGTCTTTGCATTTCTGTTTTATACTTCGCAAATAATTTCTGGGACCTATGAAAAGCTGTTTGAAGCAAAACCATGCAGAACAGTATTGGTTGCTTAATTCCTGCAAACTTTAAAGCAAGATCTATTCTGATTGCCAAACACGGCTAAAGCAGCACATCTAACAAACAAGTACCATATGCAGGATTGATAGAGGACGTGTAAGAATAATAGGTGCAATGCCTCTTCAAATCTGAGTTGAGATTTTAGTCTGCTCTCTGCTACCTTAGAGATTTCTTGTCCTTCTAGAAAGTGGGATTTTACGAGTAAGGTTCAATTACTTCCTCACGAGGAAAGTGGGATTAAACATAGGATACCCTTTGACTCTGCCTATATTATTGAGAAAGGTAAGCTTAACCGTCCTGATCACATTTCTTCTCCATCATCCTAATCTATTTGACTTTATTATGTCAAACTAATCTTTCAGTGTCCTTTTCAAGCCACATTCATGTTTGGTATTTCTAATTGAATGTGAAGAAGTAAAAATACGATTATGGTTCAGTCAGAATATGGCCAGAACGAAAAATCTTAGTATCATTATTACGAAAGTATGAATGAATATATATACTCGGAAGCGCTAGCTGCAACGTTCACATTTTGTGGTTTTGCTGATATGCAAAAATTAGTACCATCTCTACCCGCGAATGTTTCATCATTCATATTGTTGAACATAATGTCCAAACTTGATAAATCGGCAGCAGTACAACCCATACCAGAAATGTCCCATGTACAACATTTCCAAAGAATTGGCTCTGATATACCCAAACGATGGCAGAACATGCATCAAAATTTACCCACAGAAACATTAAAAATTTGCACACTAGAGAAAATGGAATGCATCATGGCAATCTTGATTAAATTATATAGAGCTTCGTTTGCGTTCAGGAATTTGATGAATGATTTGAAATACACCCAAATCGCTTTAATAGTTTGGACTACTTAAGAGTTATTTGGATTTGTCATTCGCCAATTGTCAAAAATGTATTTTAAACACTAGAACAATTAGTGATGATTTACAAATTCAAATACCTCCCAAGTAATCTAAACAATTAGAGGAATTCGAGTAGACTTCAAATCTTTCAATCTAAAGGCAGCCTAAAGTAAGTATAGGTTGCCCAAACTTGGTTCATCCGTATTTTCATCTAATAAAGTTAGGAAATGTTCTTCAAAGAACTTTAGGTGGAGTGATAATAATTATAGATTAGTTGACACCCAATCCATTGACAACCGAAACCACACTCAGATCTCCCCACCACCACCAGATCCCTAATCTATCCTAATAGTTTAAAATTTGGCATATCAACTACAAGAAGAAGTGGCTTTCATGTATTTAACCAACCCTAGCTAACTCTCAGTCGAAAAGGTATTGCATGCCCCATATACATGAAGGTGATTGACGTAAATACTACTATTAGATAAGGTATGACTATCCATCATCATCAATTAATAATGAATTACTAGTACTAGTGCAGCATGTAAAAATGACAAACCGTACATATTAGGTTTGTCTAAATATTTTTCCCTTCTCATTCATCATCATCTTAATATAGTAGTACATCCTTGAATTTGTTACCACCTAGTTAGGCAATAATCACATGAACCCATCAGGAAAGCACAGATCAGTTGCATTATTATTAAATAGAATTGGGTGAGGTTGGACAAATTTTTGATTCACATGAGTTAGGAAATGTTCTTCAAAGAACTTTAGGTGGAGTGATAATAATTATAGATTAGTTGACACCCAATCCATTGACAACCGAAACCTCACTCAGATCTCCCCACCACCACCACCAGATCCATAATCTATCCTAATAGTTTAAAGAAAGAAAGGAAAACAAACAAGCATCTAGACTGTAGAGCATGGGATATCCACTGAGCATAGCCTTGGATCATATGCCGCCACATGGCCCCACTAATCTACCCGGTGAGAGAGGAAGATGATCATGTTTACGTTTTGCAGAGTGGCCAACATGCATTATTCCCCACTGTCATTTGTACTTCATTCTGCTTTGGATTCCCTCCTTCAAATGTGGCGGGGAAAGTTGGGAATTGGGACTTGGACTTTGTTTACCATCGACATTAATTTATCAAGAATTTACGAAAAAAAAAATCAAGAATTCACAATAGCAAATCGTAGAAGAGAATAAAGAACTAAGATTTTCTTATCTGCATTTCGTGGGTGGGACTAGAGGTGCAAACAAATTGAACTGTTCGCGAGTTCGAGTCGAGTTTGAGTCGAAGTCGAACTGACCAAGTCGAAGTCGAGCTCGAATTTGAGTTCAAAAATACTAAATTTGTTGTTCGCGAGTCGACTCGAACTCGATTATATATATTTTTTTTATTTTTATTTTAATAGTAAAATTATATATATTTTCCTAATATTTTTATTATTCATTAAGAAAAATTATTATTTTATTTATTTTTAAAAATAAAATAATTATTTTTTAATATTTTTAAAGGTCGAGCTCGACTCGAATTTGAATCGAGCTTGAATTTGAATTTGAGTCGAGCTCATTTTGAGTTCGTCAAGCTTAAGCTTGAGTTCGAGTTTTGTAAAATCATGTTGAGTCTCGACTCGATTAGATCGAAACTCAACTCGACTTGATTCGACTAGTTTGCACCCTTAGGTGGGACGAATATTAAGAAGCTTGGAAAAATGTTGGAAATTTAGTAGATTCAGATAGATTAAACATTACTTATTATAATTGTTTACAATTTTAATGTGTATAGTACTAACTTGTTTAATTAGTAGTAGTATCTTTAATTACTACCACTAAACTATCTGCCTCTGCTGCATATATACTGTTTACACCATTTGTGAACATAATGCCCCCACATTTGTCTTCATTATTAAACCCCCTTTTTTTTTTTTTTTTTCATTTTCTCCCCCACTGGATGGTGGACCATTGAGAGTATGGTGCTGGCCGCTGGGAAGTGCTGCAGAGTCTCATGATTTCCTCCATCATCTCTCGAGGAAATAAAGATTTGATGAATTGTATGTGAAGAATGTAAGCTTGGCGGGACCCAAAGGGATTGCTTGGATTTCACCATCATCCACATGATGACTCATGAGAGAACTGTGGCTTACTTTCTTTTTTTTTTTTTTTTTAAATGTGTAATCCCTTCATTCCATGGTTCCGCCGAATAATTGGCAAATAGTACCCGGCTAAATAGATTTATAATTTTGGGAAAATTTTATGTCGAAGCAGCTACTAGATAGATATGGCTAGTAATTGTTTTTGTTTCCTAATCAATACTATAAAAGAGTTCCACGTAAATATATAAACGAGATGTCTCCATTTGGCCCTTGCTTTTGCTGATGATCATGTGTTAACAGCAAACTCCCGGTTAAAACTGTGATAATCGCATTTAATATCCATGTATACTGACTACAAAAAGTAGAAAACCTTTTTCTTCTTCTCTCTTCCTTTTCTCCTCCATTTTGCGAATACTTCTTTCAGAGATTCACGTGTTAATCTCTCGCTTTCTCAATACACTTTTCCTTCCGGCACAGATGTTGAAGGACTTTTTATCTCGGGTTCCCAGGTTGTATAAAGTCAGTACCGGGAGAGTGGCGTAACGGGGACCATCCTCGTTAACAAATTTTCAATTTGGTCAAGGGAAAAAAAAAAAAATAATTTTTCCGGAGTTCATCACCAATATCACACGGTTTTGGTTATGTTCTCAGGACTGAGATCCATCTAACTTTTGATGTTTTCATTTCAGGACTTTTATGGAAATAATAGTTAGTGTGTTTGGATAACTACATTTTTTTTCAAATAATATATCGACTGCACCATAAACACATTTTTCAACTTACCTTTTTATATTCTAAACTATCTTTTTATTTCACATACATCACATCAAAAAAAGTATTTCGATAATTATTTCAGATAATAAAATGGCGTGAAGTTATTATTGCATTAAGAAT